CACTTGGGTCTCAAGGCCTAAACTGGGGTGTTATAGTGAGGGTGTTCTTTATTTAATTGGTATAAAGTGTTATTAGTTCATTGATACCCTGGCTTTGACAATTAGATTATTGATATCCTGTTTTGATAGTAACCTCATCCATATGTTGACTGTTTTGTAAATAATAAACATTGTAAACAGTTAGACTGTATGTAAACCAGTGTATGGGGAGACCACAAGAAAGCACTCCACAGAGAGGTGTCCCCAGCCTTGTGGGGGCTGGAGAGTTGAGCGAAGCTATTTGACATCTCAGGACCCTGAATTCAGATGCGGCCTTGGGTAGCACCATGACTAGGGTTACAACTATTTTATTCAGGTTCTTTTTCTTCCTCAATGGGGTCATGATCTTGACTGAAGCCTTAGTTCTACTGTAAGTTTTCCCTCCCTTCAATCCCAAAGATTAACTATAGAATCTGGGGAGAAGGCATCCAGCAGTAGAAACAGTTGTCCACATATGTGTTTATTTTGTTTATCATCATCATGTGGGGCTATGTTTCTATTGCTTTTTCCCCATATAGCTTACTGGTGTTGCTCTTGGCAAGATGAAAGATGGAGATTAGCCAAGAAGATGTCCATAGGTAGATCTCTGATTTCTGAGTAGATGTGATATCATATCTACTCAAAAAACCTTGCCTGTATATGTCCTTAGACCAACACACCTACAACCAAAAACCCAGCAAGCAAAAGAAGGATGCTATTCAAGACTGACTGGTTCATATTATACTTAACCAGCACTGATAGTTATACAAATTCTTAATTTTTTTCAGAAATTACTTTTATTGTTTTGCAATAACAGTTAACTAACCTGTTTCTTTGTAATTAGAGTGCCCAACTTACTGACAATTAAATTCTCTCTCTCTCCACTGTTTTAATAATGCAATGTCTGTAGGATGTGCCCCATGGTCTGGATGCAATTTGGCGGGTTGAGGGGCAGGGTGAGTTTGACAACTCTGCTTCAGACCAAAGTACTTTTTTTTCACAAAACTTACCAGTTTGGCTAAAAAGAAAATTTTTCTCATAAAATATTGTCTTCAAAAACATTAAATCTGAGTTGAGATCCTGTGTTTCCAACAGATTTCATATTATACTGTCACTCTACTCAGGGTTAATTAGGCCCCATTTAGTGTTTTGTATGCAATTCTGGGCTCCAAAAGGATGTGGAGAAGTTAAGTTGGAAAAACAAATGACTGAAGTGTTAAAGGCAAGCTTTTTGAGGAAAAGTTGAAAGAAATAACCATGCTAGTTTAATTTTCAGTATCCCATTTTGTCTTTCTACAGTACCTGCTGACTGTGGATGATAAGGGCAGTGAAAATTCTGTCGAATCTGCAGGGCTTTACATATTTCTTGCATAATTTGCCCAGTAAAATGAGATCCCCTGTCACTCTTGATGGTAAGTGGAATTCTGAATCGCGGGATAAGGTCCTTTAAAATGATTTTAGTGACAGCTTTAGTATTGGCATTTGCCACAGGATAAACTTCAATCCAACTTGAAAACATACAAACTATAACAAGTACACATTGATACTTACAATATTTCCACATTTGTATAAAGTCAATCTGAATATTTACAAAGGGTCCCCAAGGTGGGGGATGTGCAGCTTTCTTACTTTTAACAGGTTTGCCTACGTTATGGGCTTGACACACAGGACAAGCCTGGCAGTAGTGCTGAGCAATGGAAGGAAAATTTGGAGCATACCAATCAAGTTGAATAGCTGTGATCATCCCCCCTTTGCTCACATGGGCCACTCAATGGTACATGCGAGCAAGGTAGGAAAGTAAGACCTTGGGCGCAACCAGGCGGCCGTCCGGGGAGCGCCAAAGGTGATCAGGGTGTAATATGCACCTGTAGTACAAATACATTAGATTTTAGACATAAGGTTTAAAATTAGACGTGATGCTTTATTTTTGCAATATGCTTCTGTATTCAACATGGCTTGCTAACAGCTTCTGCATATAGGTTAAAGACAGCTTTACACATAGAGTTTCACAATCGCACCTGTTCAATGACCTAGAATTACACGAAGATAAGGGGTTACTAAAGGACACTGAGTTTACCACAGCTTCCTCAACACGCATGCGCCTTCATCTATCCCATAATAAGTTGAGTCTAACTTAAAAGGCCCTGACATCCTGTGGAAACTTAGACGTAACGGTAAAATTGTGAAACCGCCAATAGTTGTAAGACACGTTACAGTTCTTTGTTTAGGTAAGCTATAAAAGACCCTCAGACAAGGACTGGGGGCCGACTCTGCTTTGGGTTACTTAACCCCTTTGTCGACCGATTGCGCAATCAATAAACTTATAATGGACTCAGCCTGAGTGTGACTCCCTCCTTGAGGTATTTGGGAAAAGCCTCCAGGGGCACGAAACTAGCACTTTGTGCAACACACCCATGCAGTCTCCAGGTGTCTTTTTCAGAATCTGCAACCTGATCTTGGAGAAGTACAACATCATGAAGAGTTGCAATAGGAGACTGCTCATGAGAAAAAAACAGTTGCTCAGCCTGAGGGGGTGAAAGGGTCGCAGCTCTAGCTGCAGAATCAGCCAGAGTATTTCCATGCATAACTTCATCCTGGGAAGATTGATGAGCAACATATTCAATAATAGCAACAGCAATAGGTAATTGAAGGGCATCTAATAAGGTGGCTATATAAGAACCATTACGAATAGGTGTGCCATTTGAGGTAAGAAACCCACGTTGTTTCCATAATTGCCCATAATCATGGACAACACCAAAGGCATAACGTGAATCTGTATATATATTAACAGTTTTACCTTGAGCAAGGGTACAAGCATGAGTGAGGGCAACAAGTTCAGCAATTTGGGCAGAATAGACAGAAGGTAAAAAATTACTTTTGAGTACCTCGTGCTGGGAACATACAGCGTAACCTGCAACAAGAGAGCCTTTAGAGTTTCTTAGGCAGGACTCATCAACATACAAAACTAGATCAGCATTTGGAATAGGAATGTCCTTAAGATCAACCCGGGGTAAAGTTAAATGAGCAGTAATAGTGAGGCAGTCATGAGGCTCGCCATCAGAAGGTGCAGGTAATAAGGATGCAGGATTAAGTACAGGGCACTGAATTAAAGTAATGTGGGCAGCAGAAAGTAGCAAAATTTCATATTTAGTTAAACGAGCATTTGAAAGGTGCTGGGTTTTGTTTTTTAAAAGAAGTGCGGCCACTGAGTGGGGTACAGCAACAGTTAAGTGCGAGGCTAGAACAATATTTGCAGATGATTCTACAAGAATAGCAGCAGCAGCAATTGCTCGAAGGCATGGTGGAAACTCAGTTGCTACAGGATCTAAGGCTGTACTATAGTAGGCAATAGGATGATGTTTATCTCTGTGGGATTGAGTAAGTACCCCCAGAGCAAAGCCATCTCTTTCATGACAAAAGAGTGTAAAAGCCTTTGAATAATCAGGAAGTCCCAGTGCGGGTGCCTGTGAAAGGGCAGTTTTAATGACAGAAAAGGCATTTTCAGCTTCTGCAGACCACTGCAAAGGTTCAGGGATGTCCTTTAAGGTAAGATTTTGCAAGAGTTTCACAATTGAGGCATAGTCCAAAATCCACTGGCTGCAATATCCGGCCATACCTAAAAAGGCACGCATTTGAGAGACAATTGTGGGCTGAGGGATTTTGAGAATTGTTTCAACTCACGCAGTTGAAAGGTGACGTTCACCTATGGAAATATCATGGCCTAAATAATGAACCTTTGGTAAGCAGAGCTGAAGTTTTTCTTTAGAAGCTTTATGGCCCTTTAAAGTAAGACAGGTCAAAAGGTGCAAAGAATCGATTTTACAGACTTCAAAGGAAGGTGAGGCAAGCAAAAGATCATCGACATACCGCATAAGGACAGAAAGGTGTTTGAACTGAATGTCGTCTAAATCTTTCTTCAAAATTTGTGAAAAGATAGAAAGGGACTCTGTATACCTTTGTGGGAGTCTAGTCCAAGTATATTGTAAGACTTTATAAGTAAATGCAAACAAAAACTGACTATCTGGATGAATAGGAATTGAAAAAAAAGCAGAACACAAGTCTACAACAGTAAAGAAACAAGCTTTCGGTGTAACGCAAGAAAGAATGGTAGCTGGGTTAGGTACTACAGGAAAAATAGGTAAAACAACAGAATTAACAGCTCGCAAGTCTTGCACGAAGTGATAGGTAGTTTTGCCTGGTTTCTTAACTGGCAGAATTGGAGTATTACAAGGACTAGAAGTGGGAACCAAAGTACCTTGCTGATGGAGGGAAGAAATGACTGGCGCGATCTTGCTCCGCCTCCTGACTAAGAGGATACTGGGAAATGCGCGGAAGCTGCTTTCACGGATCCAGACGGATTCTAACAGGTTCAGCGGTGTGTATCTGCCCAACTTCATTAGCATGCTCTGACCATAGGGCAGGGGGTACCTGTTTAAGGATTTCTTCTTTGAAATCAAGGTTTGTTGCCTGGTTCAGTCATAGCAGCAAGAACTGCACATTTGTTTTCTGCTGGTACTTCAAGGAAAACTCCATCCGCTGTACAATAAATAGTACAACCAAGTTAACAAAGTAGGTCACGACCTAAAAGATTAACAGGAGTAAAAGGGCTTAAAAGAAAGGCCTGGTGGTCAGAGATAGGAGCAAGAGTGACGGACAAGGGTTGAGTTACAGGGTGAGAAATTACTTGGTTAGAAATGCCGACAGCATTAACAACAGCATTGGAAAGAGGTGGATCAGGAAGATCAAAAAGATGCAAAGCGGAACGGCTTGCCCCCGTGTCAACAAGGCAAGTTACCTTTTCCCCCACTATGGTACATTCTAGAAAGGGTCCAGACTGATCAACAGGTAAGAGTGGTGAAAGGATGAAGTTACTTTCCCTTAGGCGGTCCTCATATTGAGATAAAGAATTTTGGGGAGGAGGCAGGGAAAATTGCTGATGTTGTTGATTTGCAGAGTTCCCTGTTGAAGGGGTAGAGGTAGGCGGTCTGTTGGGACATTCTCCTTTCCAACAACCGGTTTGACCACAGTAAAAACAGGAAGAATGGTCAAAGCAGGAAACATTCATCTGCCAGCACCCGCGTCCCCTTCCTCGGCCTCGTGAATTCCCTTTTCCACGTTCTCATCCTCTGGGGTAATAGGTTGGAAGTTGCAAAGCCATTAATTTGGCTTCATTATTTTCTTTCTTTCTTTCAGACTTCATTATTTTCTTTCTTTCTTTCCTGACACGCTAAACAATGATTGGCAACCGTAACTAGTTCAGTTAAAGGTTTTGTTTGCCAGCCCACACATGTTATGCAATTGGTCTCCTAATTTAGTCTGTAGGCCTTGTACAAATGCGGCTGTAATTGCTTCCCGAGCGTTTTGGGTAGCTTCATCTATTCCTGAGTGTCTCAAAAACTTCTTTGATTCGGTTTAAATAGTCTGCTGGAGACTCTCCTTTATTCTGTTTACAATTATTAAACTTTGCCCAATCAGTTTTCTTAGGACATACGACAGATATGGCTTCTAGTAACTGGCGTTGTGTGGTTGCGAGATCTGTCCCATGACCAGGGTCTCGCTGTGGCCAGTTTGCCTCATCTGTTAGGCGTTGCCGGACTTCAGAAGGAAGTACGGCATGCAAAAGCTGGTTCACATCAGACCATGTAGGGTTGTAACAGTTAATAACAGTTTGGAGCTCATCTTTAAACTTCTGGGGCTTTTCTCTGATGTTAGGAAATTCTTTAATTAGATTTCTTAAATCCCCAGGTGTCCAAGGGGCATGTACCGTTACCAAACCTTGTGCACCTGGTAATTGGTGCAATGGTACTTGAATAACAGGGCCCTTTTTAGGGCGACTGTTATTTATACCCACAGGGGAAAATGAGCCTGCAGAAGAGCCCTCTGGACTAGGTGGAGTTTCCAATTTAAGTGGAAGGCGTACGTGGTTAGGTGGTGGTTGGGCTAAACAAGAAATACTTTCTAAAATATCTTCTACAGACTCGTCCTCAGTCTCATGAGTTAGTTGGGGATATAAAGGGGTAGGAATTGCTGAGGGATGATTAGCCTGGCCAAGGCTGTATCCATTTTTCAATTGCTTAATTTCTGCTTTTAGTTTTTCTTGGGAGTCCTTAAGACTCCTTACCCAGGATTCTTGTTGTCTCTTCCTACCTTCTTCATACCAATCAAAATAGACATCCCATTGAGTTTGGGTGGTCTTGCTACCTTGGGACTCTAGAGCTTTTCAGAGGTGGATCAGTTTATCCAGATCAAAAGTTCCTTCTGAAGGAAATTGTTTTGGAGGGTTATCCCTGGTATACCAATTCCATTTATCTAACAAATTATATGATTTTTTACCATAATGCACATACATATAACCTGCTGGGGTTCCTTTTGGTGGGGTTGGGACATCCTTTTACCCAGACCCCCCCCATTC